TCACGACGTTTTATATACATAATACATTACGTCGGAGACTTAGACGTCACCGGGACGAATGAAATATTCATGTGAACTCGCGTTTCACCGTGTAGCCCTTGTACACAAAATAACGTATTATTATTGCAATGTGTCCCCCGTCATGTACGAGGCGCGTACACCCATCGCTGTACAGCACTTTCCCGATATGCGTTGCGAGAGACGAAATTTGAAACAAAGTCGGCGGCGATTTTACATCATGCCGTGTACACGTACGTATAATATAATATTCGTAACCACAATATTACCGGCGCGTTTTCTCCTTTTCTATAGAATATGTTTCCGGTAAAATTCACCCCGTTTCACAGAAAACGACCCTCAAACCGCCGCAGCGTATGTTTAGGTACAGGTCACCGACCATGCGTACCTGTCTGCTTAATTTTAAAATGTTTTTTTGGTCTTTATTCAAATTTATAAGATATTTTTTACGACTGGATACCTAAACGTGACCTATAGTTATAGGTAGGTGTACCTCGACGGATACTCTGATCACTGTTATACAGTGAACAAATAAGATAAATACGTACCAATAATATTTTCTACGTTTACGTTTACGTTTGTACGTTTACTCTTTCCTGACATTATTTCCTGTGTAGATAGATTGTCCGTCGAATCACACTCCTAACTATTTCGCACGGTTTCGGAACATCTGACTTGTCACAGATGTTTTTCAGTTTAATATAACAACTGTATAACAATTGGTAGGTATCGTGTAAAGTGGATGGAAAACTGAAACACGTGTGATATTATTATTACATATATCTGTTAAAAGTTCAAACGCAATATTTTATACAAAGTGCGTGGTGGTCTAAAATTTTTGCCTAAACGTGTTCGGACTCGCAGAGCCTCATTTAACGGGGGGCAAGGAGGGGCAACTGCCCAGGGGCGGCAAATTTTATGGTGTTTGATAGAGCGGAAAATTTTTATGGATCAACATAAAATAAAAAATTAAGGGTAGCATATTTCAATTTGCCCCGGGGCGGCAACATAGCTTAACGCGGCACTGCGGACTCGTCGTCGCCAGTTATTATTTTTTTTTTTTACTTCTAGATTAGGATAGATCTCGGTTTAATGTGCACACTATACGACTCTCAATTATAATGTTTATTAGTTGGTTGACTGACCGTGGTATAGAGTTCCCGCAGTATAAATCCTCATAGGTATAATAATATTAAATATGTAGCACATAACCACGCGAGTTTTAGCACTATTTAAAGAGTTTCGTGCCATAAAAACACGCTGTTATTTTAGGTATCAGTAAAAATTATTATAGCTCGACATTAAAATTACAGCACACGTAACATTAATTCGAAACAACAATAATAACTGCAAGCAAAGGAGGAGATCTTTGCGGACATTAGTAATATTAAGCAAAGTTAGGCTGATGAGAGATATAATATTATTGTAGTGCTTTAAAGGCATTTCGAGTGGAACAAAGAAGAGCGATTCTCTGATGGCTAATTATTTAATTTGAATTTAAAACGATGAAAGATGAAAATAAATTTTGAATTTGATTTTTCGTTGTTAATCTTTTCTGCGTATACTATTTGATTTTGAGTTGACTAAACGAATAATTTTGATGCAACCAAAAAGTTTCGAGTCTCGAGTGTTTGGATTTTGTGTTTATCGATATTCTTCGGTGTATTTTTTGAGTGACTAATAAATTCAATTCAAAGACATTTTATTTGAATGCGATTATCGAATGTGTACTATATTCATATTGTAAATTATATGAATGCACATTGCATGAAGGTACTACGGTTGTTCAAACGCGTTTTCATGATGCCAAACCACGTACGTGTCACACCAGCCACCCCCCCTCCCCAATCATTTTCATAATATTGCAATTTTAATATAATATCGTTTAGTATGATTTCCGTACGAATTTGTATCACGTCAGCTCCGCTTCACCCCTACCGAGGTTTTTTTTTCATATATCTGAGCTCCTTTGGTCATATACAAATTCGTACAAATATCATATACCAAATGATAGAATAATATACAATTGCAATAATTTGAAAAAGATGAGGTAGGCTGGTGTGACGTAATTTGCAAAGCCTCCAGAGTACTATATTATATTTTTAATAGGTCGGTGATCGACGGCGGACGACGACGAAGTAATAACAGATTTAAATATCGAAAATATTAGTCGTTACAGGTATTAACATATTATTACTTTTATTTTATGTAAAAAAAAAAAATTAAAAAAATGGCTACTCACTAAAATTATACAATAACATGCGCGGTTTACCGATTATTGTACACATCATGAACGTTTTGGGGCTGATTAAAAATTATTAGTTTTTAACACGACGAAGACGATAAGAAAAATTAAATTAAACAGTCTGCACGACGGCTTGGGTAGAGCTTGTTATAAACAACCTTTCGCGAATTTTGGCGCCAGTTGAGTCTGTCACTAATAATAATATTACAATAACTATATAATGGTATAATAATAATAGGAAGTAATGTGCTGTACATGTGCAATGAGCGATAATAATAAACCCAATATCATTATTCATTATATTGCATTATTATCGTACAGTAGTCCAACTTTTATTGTGGTGCTTAGTGTAACGTCCATATCGAAATATAAAAAGTGGGCCCACTGCTTATCACTCTCGAAACGAGGGTTACCTTTAAGGCGTTGGCATTTGTATACCCTGTATACACGGCACAAGACGTAGCTTAGACGACGCTTGATGATGATTAGATTAAGTGCCGATTATAAATGGGTAGATGATATTGGTATAGTAATTTTAACAATAATTTCGTTACCGCTAACCGAGTACAGCGATTATACTATATCATTGACGGTGTAGGTAGGCACGAAAAGATAAAAAGTAGATAGTTGTAGATAAAAATTATGTGATTGGTAATCCCGCAATACTTGGGATTTACGTTATAATTTTTACTTTATTGGCCGGGCTCTGACCTTTATATGTATATTAAGTGATTCGTATTAACGGTTTGTGACAAAAAATTACATTCTTCTGGACCTGTGTCGTGTCATTTTTTAAATTTTTTTGACCAAAAATCGATTTGAAAAATGGCACCATTTTAGGTATGGACTCAATTCGAAAGACGATACTCAGTAGTCATTGATATACGTGGAATAAAAAAAATTAACAAATTGAGAGCTGGAAATCCAATATCGGCCGAATAAATATACGAAATTATTTGAAAATATAATTTTATATCTTGGAGAAAAAAAGTCGTTTAAAATCGACGGAGTCGGTTCAAAAACTTATAATTATTGATGTAATACATTTTTCCGAAACGTATATACGCATCAAAAAAATACACGTCCAACTACCTACAGATCCTTAACCTGTATGATAAAATATACCAAGGTATAATTATAATATGTATATTATAATAGGTACTAATCCGAAATCCGTCCGCGTGAAATTAAACTTTTTTTCGTGGAACTGCCTGAAATCGCGTCGGCCGTAAAAAAAAAAAGTTTCGACACGAATATATAACACAATATTATGTAGTGTTAAGCCCATATATTATGCGATATATAATATTTATGTGAAAAAAAAATTAAACGGTTTGACGTGCGTGTGTTTTGTTTTATGAGGGTGCGAACAACGTCGAAAACTAAAAACAAGCGATATCCCATCTCCCGTAGTCCGTCTCGTAAAAAATACGCAACTTTCGGCGGGCCTCGATTTAAAACTTTGGTTTCAGCTAACATATTGTTCTTGTTTTCATCACTTCGATAACGTGTCGTCGAATTTTCGCAACGTTTAAATTGAGTATTCCGCAACTGATAATAAATATTATAAATTACAGCAATGTCGATATAGAAGATTTCGAACTTTCAGTCGAATAGATTAGGTATTTAACGACATTTTATTGTTAGTTAACTACAGTGTAACGCGAAACGAAAAGAAACGGTAATTCATTTTTATTCATTCAATAATAATTATACTCTAAAAAGCTATACGTTTTAAAATGATTTCGAAGCGACGTATTCGTTTAGCGTATTTCAACATTTTTGGCGATCTTATGTTAACATTATAATATTGAAAAACAATAATTATTATTATAATAAGCAATAATTACATATCTATATAAATATTATTCTGATGATATGATACGGTCTTCTAATGAGGTAGCAACGCATAATAATCAGAAGGATGATATTTTAATGAAAATTCGAAAGTCGGTAAACAATTTTACAATTCAGCGTTAGTAGCTAGAATTCGAACACGGTTAAAAAATTATCTCTTATCGCTTCTGAAACTGATTATGCACATTTTCGGTGTTATTATACCAAATTTGATGAATTATTTTTATTTTCACTGATAATCGTTAAAATACTGCTACGAATTACAATATTGTACAGATGCCCAACGAGCTATATAAATAACTATTTTTTTCTAGAACCAAAACTGACTTACCAGAACAGTCGTTCCAAACCACACCAAGTGCTTTTTATCATATTAGTGACAAGTTTTACAAAAATGATTTAACATAAAATCTGTAAATACTACGATTTCTATTAATAATTGCGAATTTAATCGATCCTTTAACGCTTTAAAATAATCAAATAAATAAAAATGAAAAAATTATATAAAAATATTGTACTTATTTCGAAACAGTCAATCCATTAATATGGATTAAATTCCTTTGGAGCACTTTGAATACCTTCAAAATTTTGGGAAATCAGTTTAGGAGGTCCTTATAATCCTTATCGTCGAGAATCTTTCGGTACATTTTAATTGGTACTATTCACGATATTTATTGTGTCAGTAAGTTGTTGTACAATTATTATACGGGTTACAATGATATTATAATACAACGACAGGTTATAGAAAGTGTATTCTACGTATAAGAACGCATCGTATAACATTGGAAAATGTATCCTTCTGGTTATCCTGCAGTAACAAATATTATTAGTAAAAGCAAATGGCGTTTACTATATCCAACACTTTCATTACGTGTTTCAGGTCCGACGACGTCTCGGTTGTGTGGCCGGTGGACGAGACTGTGGACGAGACGGTGGCCAGCAGCATATTTAATTACGTCGTCCGCCTCACTGGTCGATACAGACTTGGCTAAGGTCTTTCACCGCTAGGAAACTGCTGTAGCTGCAKTCCGGACGAAACGCTCAATCTGGGCGATAAGCAATATACCTGTGTGATCGTTTGCCGAGACGGCGACCGAATCGCGCGGACCCGTACAGATAAGCGATTACTTTAGCGTAAACAATTATAATAAGATGAACGATAATTAGCAATATTATAGTGATAACGGAACGTCTGAGTTGAATTTTTTTTCCGCCAAATGAATGAACGAAAAGCAATATTACATTAGACATTTCATAGTGTACGGTATATATTAGTGTAACAACAATCAATACAGACGGAATCTGCAGAGCGATAATCGATTAGTGCTCAAGTCAGTCCAGATCTGGTTTTTTTTCTTTTCTATATTTATAATAATAGAGTATAATACGAGAATAATTTTTTCCCTCATTATACCGCCACGACGACGGTTCTACTCTGTCACCATGCCCCGATACTACGCGGTGAAGAAACTGGGACCAAAACTGATGTTACACCAGCAACAGCAGAACCAACAGCAGCAACAGCAGCAACAGATAATAATTCTGCAACAGCAACAGCACGAGGAGGCCATGGACGAGTTGGAGGACGACGAGTGCTGCAGTTCCCGGTCTTGCACCGAGTCACCTCCACCGTTCACCGATCCCACGTCTGTGAAACTCTACAAGCCTCTGGAATCCGTCAACATGTCCAAACACAAAGGTAAGAATTTTTTGCATGAAATTGTTTCCGGGAAAAATCCCCTCTCTTCCTACCCGCGCGTAATATAATATCGTATGATCATTAAATATTGTATCGAAAAATAAAACACTTAAAGAATAAGTCAGCATACTTAGAGGTCACCGATTAATATTTTAGGAATGCCACATTGGGAATCTGGAGATTTTTCGCGGTCCATCAAAATTTCTGTGGTTGGTAAAACCAACAAACAAAAATGACAATTGTTTACAATAGTAGAACGTAAAATATTAACGGATTTCGCTTTTTTTTT